AAGGAGAAAGCTTTCCTTTTAAACACCTTTTCAAATCCCCATGTAGATCGCCTCACCTTCTCTCGGAACAAAATGAATTTCGGCGAGAAATCGATCCGTTGACGCCAGCCCAGCATTGCAACTTGTGCCATGATTGGATCCCGCGAAATCAATCTTGTTTGAAGGTTTAATGGAGATTCTTGGAACATAAATTTGGGTATGGTCAAAATCAAACAACCAGGATATGGACCGCATCTGTCTCCAATTACCAGGGTTCCATTTTGGGCAAGGCGCCGGATGTGTTGTGCGCACGCGGACAATGGTGCGAAGTGTTCCCATACTACTCCACAGGTTAACATGGAACCCATAAATCCATCAGTTTGGTATTCCATGATTCAAAGGTCATCCCAGAAAACAGCTCGCTTGGGGAAATCTGGTGGTACAAGGACCAGGGTTGGGTCCGTGAAGCTGTTTGGATAGATGTTCGCCACATTCAAAGCCTGTACCCAAGTGGTTCGACACATACAAGCTGATCTTTACTTGCATCTTCTCTTTGTGACCCTTTCAGGTTAGGGTACGAGGAGAACCCATTTGTCATCCCAGCCAAAGCAGAACCAGGAGGGTGAAGATGACGAAGAGGAGTCCAACTGTCCGCTCTCCCCACAGCGGGAGGCTGTGTGAAGCGGAAGGGGGCGGGAGGACGAGTTCTTTTTTTCTGTGAGGTCGGTAAACGCTGGATTTGTCTATGAGTTTATGTGGGACACGGGGGAACTCAAACAAACTCCCCAATTACCTTGGACTCACTCAACTTCCCTATGTCCCGTAGGGGAGGCGTGAAGGACATGTTGACTCATGTCAATCTGGAAGCTGAAAGAAGAAAACGCCTTCATGGAAGCTCTCCAAGGTTATAAATTTCTTTGACCATGGGTGGTTTTCCTGGCTTCCTTGAAGGAAGCACCCCAAAAAGGCGACTTGGGTGTTCTGATAAAGTCAGCAAGGAGTTGGTGACGTAGGCTACCCACTTTTGAGGCATCGGGCTGCAAGTCGGTTGATGAACGACAGCCTCAGTTGGCAACGCATGATCCTCTGGATTTCGGGTTTACGCCGGACGTTCTTCGTCGAGCGCAGAGAGCATTCACGTGGGCGTTGTTTCTGGCAGCGCAGCGAGAACATGTCAACCCTCCCTTAAGGGAGACATTCTGGCCTGTTAGACAGAATCACCATCACGAGTTGATTTAAAGGATACAGGTTGCTGCGTAGCAGGCTCGCGTCGCAACCGGGGTGCTCATGACCGAGCTTGTGTCGGACGAAAGCCTGCAGATATGGCGCTCTTGCTGTAGGTTTTGCCAAATGGAATTTGGTGCGCGCAAAGGCTATAATCGCGGCCGCCAAACGAGCCACGCGTTGGGTGGGGGCACCGGTCATCCTCATTAGTTAGGTCGCCGGTTCAAGAGTCGAGGTGGTGTGCCTTGGGTTTGAAGCAAGCCCCAAGCCAAACAAAGGACACGCGGAGTTGGAGGGCGGGCCGGGGGGGGGGAAAATGTAGAAAGGGCTGATTCTAGGGGGTAGGGGGTAGATGGTTGCCTGTTCTGTTTTTTATTCCACAATTCAACACGTGTACCACCTTATCCGTTTTTAAAAGGCTGATTTAGTAGTCGAGGGCCTTGCCTAGCAATAAATTGCTTTCATACATACACCCCCCCTACATTTTTTTTCATCTTCCATCTTCCACCCCTATTCGTTTTCATCATTTTTCTACATTCCTTTCTGTCCATCTCATCCGTTTTTTTCTCATCATTTTTCCAAAATTTTCGTCATCCTTTTCTCCTTCCTCCTTGCCTCATTCATTTCACCAACTACCCTTCAAAATGTCATTTCCTCAATCTCCTCACCTCATCCATTTCAAAAAAATAAATTTTGCAAAATATATTGCAAAAAAAATTGTCATCAAAAAAAAATCGAACTGTCTAAAAACGATTTGTCCATGTCTCGGACAAAAAATAGAACAGCAACAACATCACTCCCCTCCTTCGTTTCATCACTTTTAACATATATTTTTTTAGGCGTGGTGTCCCTTGTAGGATTTTATCTTCAATATATAAAACGCTATACTTACATTATAATTATAACATATAAGGGTATAAATGTTATTATTATAGTATGATTAAGAATTATGGGTTACATTTATAGTCAGGAAAAATGTCTTCAAATATGTAATCTACATATTTATCAATATCACCAATGTCTATATATTTGATATTGTCTTTTCCTATTATTGAATAAATATATTCCAGAAAAACAAATTAACTAGTAGCCATACTTGATATTTAGTGTTGTAGTAAGACCATACATGATATTTAGTTATTCTAAATTCATTCAAGACCTCGTTTATTTTATCTTTACTTAATAAATGCCAATCAATCGCTTCAAACATGTCTCGAATTTTTTTAACAAATGCTTTATATGGTTTAATTGCGTTTGCCCCTCCAAACCTCTTAATTAAATCTTTATTACTAAAGAACTCATCAATTTCTTTTTCAAATGACTTTCTAGCAATTTTATGGTAAAAAACATACAGGAAATCGTTTTTGATATCTCGTAAAGAATTTCAATTGTAATTGAAACTTTGTATATCCCTTATCCTTATGTTCTTCAACAAAAAACTTTTCAAGGTCTCTTGTTATACAGCATTGATTACAATATACATCATATTCACTTATTTTATTACATAGATTGGCGGGTAATAACTTATACAATGTTATATTAACATCATTCCTTTTAGTTTTACAACATTCGCACTTTGAATAATTAAATAACATTTTCACTGTAATATGTATAGTGTTTATTTCTTTAAATACTTTTTTACAAGAAATAAAATTACATATTGAAATATAATTATAGCATATAATATTTTACATGTTATTATTATATTATGATTATAATTTAAGTTCAGGATAATAAGTTAATTGATATATCTTACCTCTTTCATACATCATTTTAAAATAAGATTAATATCTCTCACTGTATTTTTAACATTAAACTGTTCACTTTCAATATATGATTTTATGACTTTTTTTGCACCAACGCCGGGTTTACTATAATAAATCAACATCCATAATATGTCATTAATCATTTCATACTTTTTCTTACTGATTTTAAGAAACTGTTTAACATAATCGTAAGGTGGTCTTTCATACACAGTTAAAAATATCAATATTTCATCTTCAACATTTCTTTCATCTATATTTTTGAACGCCAAACAATTTTCTATTATATTTTGATATCGTCTCCATCTTCTACAAGTTCTACATATATTTTCTTCGTCCAAAGAATAATCAATAATATTATTAACTATTCCATTAGGTAAATTCAATTTATATAATTCCATATTTTCTTTTTTAAAGTGGCAACAATCGTAGCATTTCTTATTGATATAATTATTGATTTCGGTTTCCACAATTTCTATTATAATATATATAGTTTTTATTTCTTTAAATACTTTTTTACAAGAAATAAAATTAAATATTGAAATATAATTATACCATATAACATTTTACATGTTATTATTATAGTATGATTATAATTTAAGTTCAGGATAATAAGTTAATTGATGATTATTAAATTGTGTATATATCTTACGTCTGTCGTGCATTAGTTCAAAAATAATATGGATATCTCTCACGGTATTTTTCACATTAAACTTTTTGCTTTCAATTTCTGATTTAATGTCTTCTTTTACATCACACCCTTCTCTTCTACGATGTAACAATATCCATAAAATATGGTTATTCAGTTCATACTTTTTCTTACTGATTTTGAGAAATATTCTAACATAACTATAAGGTGGTCTTTCATACACAGTTAAAAATATTATAATGTCGTCTTCAACATTTCTATTATGTCTTCTTTTCAGATTTAAATGACATCTGATTAATTCTTGATTATCTCTTCAGGTTTTACAATTTTCGCATATATCTTCTTCATCCATTGAATAATCAATAATATTATTAACTATTCCATTAGGTAAATTCAATTTATATAATTCCATATTTTCCTTTTTGAAGTGGCAACAGTCGTAGCATTTCTTATTGATATAATTATTGATTTCGGTTTCCACCATTTCTATTATAATATATATAGTTTCTATTTCTTTAAATACTTTTTTCCAAGAAATACATTTATACCTTTAATAACTCATGTCTCAAAGATGCCCTGTCATAATTTTCAATATAATAATATTCCTGTCCTAACTTCTTTTCAATCTTTGCTATTTTGTAGGTTTGTTTAGTGCATACTCCTACTCTCTCCTTTTCATTCGGTCTCCTTTTCCTGAATATTTTAACTTCATTTCCTACATTTAAATCTGGATAAACTCTATTTCTTTTGGCTTTCATACCTAAATTTAAACTCACTTCTAATTGATGTTTAGGCTTTCTTGCTTCTGACGGTGTTAAGCCGTGCGAAGTGTGCTTTATTCCATTGTTATAAGTTAATATAATCTCGTGTATGTAGTCTGTCCATTGAATAGCCTTTCCTTTTTTCTCATCGTTTTCAACCCTCTTATACAAGCTATCTTTAAACGTCCTTATCGCCCTCTCCGCAAATGCTGGGTGTCCTCTTGTTCTATGTAATTCTATTTTTCATCTTTCAAAAAATCTATAACACTTTGATTATTATAAGCTCCTTCATCGTCAATATAAATTAGTTTGGGCTTTCCATCCATTTTTTTAATACATTCCATCAGTCCTGCTAAAATGTCCGCTGGCTGTTTTGACATAAGCGGGACAACAGCCATATACTTAGAAAATATGTCAATACACATCATGCCAACTTTCATTTTTTGTTTAGGGATATCATTAATGAAAAATAAATCAATTTGAAACTCATAATATGCGTTAGGAGCTACAAATGAATTCTGTCCTCTTGGCTTGGCTTTCTGTTCTACATTCTTCCTAAAAAAACTCATTAATATCGTTTATAGTTATTGTGTTATCCTTTTTTCTTGCTTCTTGTAAAGTGCGGTTCTTTGACCCGAAGCCTCCTTTATCATAATAAACATTTCTAATTATATCTTCTTTACTATTGCTCATTATACTAAAGAATATATTTTAATTTTCTTCTGGTTCTTGTTCTGGTTGCTCTTGTTGTTGTAGCCATTCTTGGTGTTTCTTGGTTTTTTCATGTCGTGCTTTCTCTGTTTTTTGAACAGTTGAACCACAACCGCAGTTAAAAGGAATTTTCTCCTTCTCCCTCAATATTTCCTTGTTTCTCTCTCTGTATAATCTATTAGTTTCTCTTTTGTGTTCTTTGTGTGTGTCTCGCCATTGTTTGCTTTTCTCCTTCATATGTTCTATATTGTTTTCTCTATATTCTTTTCTATACTCTTGTAAATGTTCTTTGTTATGTTCACTCCATTCTTTATAATATTCATCCAGTCGTTCTTTGTTTCTCTCTCTGTATTCCTTATGCCATTCACTCCTTGGTCGTCCTGCCACATTCGTATTTACACATTCCATGTGTTGAATATAAAACCCCTCTCGTGCTTCCAGTTCCTTTTTACTATTGCATGGATAATCCTCAATCCAATAAATTTTACAATTATCAGCACCGAATTCATTGAATAGTTTGAAGCATGAGCAGTCTTTTTTCTTTCCATATTTTTGTTTGTAGTT